AAAAAAAAAAAAAAAAAAAAAACTGTATTGGCAAGCAAGCAAATTGTTTACACTTCTGGAATATCAAATATTAGTAATTTCTGGGAAATTTGCACATACTCAATTTTCTTGAGATGTGAATTGCAATCCTCCAGGTTAAATATTCAAAGCCACCTGTGTCGGCGGGTCAACATACGTAGCCGCCACAAAGTAGACGCCGTTGCTCTCTATTGTCAGGTTGTGAGCAAGCAAACTTCACCATCCATCTGGTACATCATCGTGGGCAAAGTAGACGCCAATGATCTCTATTGTGAGAAAGTTAGAGAAGCCATTTCATCACATTCACTTCCCCTTGTTGATGAAAACAACATAAGATTTTAGTAAAGTTTGCACCTTTTTGTGTTTTAGGGAACCAAAACAATTAAGGGAATAAATCAACCCAATAAACATAAAAACTTACATGAGAAAAACCCTTCTTTGCATCAAAGGTGCTTGTGGCCCTCACACAATTATTTGGTGATGAATCACAAGACTCCATTGAAGTTGATAATCTCCTATCAAAGCTACCTTATTTTTGTTTGTTTATGTGTGCGTAAATTTGTAGGCGCCGCTCGCTGCTCTAGACCGCCGGCTTCAGTTCGGAGATGGAATCCAAGACAGAGATAGCAGCGGGGATGCCCTCGAAACCGTCAACGGTCAATACATGACACCAAAGCCCCACAACACCATCGAACCACCGAAATCTTCATGTGCTCCTTATAGAGAAGAATTGAGCTACGATTTTGGAGGAAAGAAATGATAGAAACGCAACAGGTGATATTGACGACGAAGGGAACGTCGATGCCGCTTAAGAATTGAATGAGAGAGTATGTTGAAGGTTGCGTGTCGATGCCGCTTAAGAATTGAATGAGAGAGTACGCTTAAGGTTGCGTGAAGAAGTCGAATTGCAGATTTTCGGGGGACCATATCGCTGAAGACAGCCAGATTTTAAGGGGAGAAAGTCGATGTCCAATGGACACCGCATTGGCTAAAGTAGTCTCAAACCCAAACGACGTCGTTTGCTATGAAAATGTGTGGATAAAAAAAGTGGACACGTGTCAATTTTTTAAGACCACAAAAGTGGACACATGTCAATCATAGAAGAGTCCTAACTTGTTTGTATAAGATATAAGAGAGATATATCTATATATCGAGAAATATAGGTATATAGTATATAAGTTGTATAGTTAGATTAAACCAACATAGTGTTCTACTTGTAATTTATAGTTAATGGTGTATTATAGCTCATCTATCA